AGCAGCCCACAAACCACAGCAGCAAACAAACAACTTTACAGACAATAATGTTGAGTGGCAAAGCTTAATTGACATATTTCCAGAAAACAACTGCTCAATGCCGCCTTGAAGATGCTCTCTAATGTGATAAATAATATTTGGAACTGAGCAGACGCTGTTTTAATTAATTTGTACGTTGTGTTAAGATGCACAACATGCTTTGTTTGTTATGCAGATGTCCTCGCTGTCTTTCTGTTTTCCTTTCTGTCTATGCAGCAAAGTACTATATCACTTTGGCAATAATCCATTAACACTAAAACAAGCTCACTAGAATTCATTTGATAGCAGCCATTTTGTAAATAGGGCTTTAAGAACTGATGAAACTGAGAAACATCTAACCTCAATGACTGTCAGATGATTGATCGCTCAGGTGATTAATCAGGTTGGTTTTATGGTTAAAATAAGTCTTAAGCTGTACATTTTCAAAGTAGTTCAAAATCAAATCCACAGAAATGACTTCCTTTAAAAATTACAACAGTTTTACTTTGAATGGTCACATGGCATTTTACGTCTAGATGTATCCACAGCACCCGAGCAATAGCTGAGAGTATGCATCTAAAACACTCAAACACGCGTGCGCACACGCACACACACACACACACACACACACACACACACACACACACACACACACACACACACACACACACACACACACACACACACACATACACACACACACAGGCAGACATTAAATCTGCTTTATTGATCGAGGAAATGAGAAACAGAGAGGCAGCGGGGATCAAATCTGAACCTGCCGAGGACTGAATAGATACAGGAAGGTTTATTATGACATGATGAAGAAACTGAAGCTCTTCTGCGACCTTGTGTGTGAGTGTGTGTGTGTGTGTGTGTGTGTGTGTGTGTGTGTGTGTGTGTGTGTGTGTGTGTGTGTGTGTGTGTGTGTGTGGCTGGCAGTGAAACATAAATCCTAAACGATGCCTGGAAACAGAATAATGACTCAAATGACAAGTGAGTCACCTCTCGTGTGATTGAAGGTCATCTGGACTACAATCTGAGTCATTGCTCCTCAGAAATTGCTGCCTGACCTGAACATTAAAACCCGATTCTGTAATGGTGACCTGTGAGGCCATGACTGCAGGGAACATCAGGATATTTTTTACAGTGAACTCAAATGTGAAGTGTAGTCAATGCTGGACTTTATTTGAGATTGAACGTTTATTTGTGACCGCAGAAACAAAACAAACTCAAAACTTGGTATATTTTGGAGCGTTAATCACATGACATGATCTTCCTCAGCAGATTTTATCATGGAAATATAACTGACATTTCCCTCCTCCATGTTGGCTTAACCCTTATGTTGTGTTCGGGTCTCCCGTGACCCGTTTCAAGTTAAAATTATATAATAACTACGCTCTAGTTTTTTTTTATCAGAACAAGGCTTCATGATATCCTCCACAACAGCTATATAAACACTTCAAAACTGATTTTGACCATTTTTGCCAAGTCTGAAGGTCTCTAAAAAAAAAAGTGTATTTTTGGTGTTCGGGTCTGGGGAGACCCAGCAGAATTGTTTTGGGTGACTCGAGGTCAAATTTGGCCCAATCAAGATTCATCTTTGACTTTAGACACCCCTCCCCCACCCCCTTCATCCACTGTAACAATAATGTTTCGCAACATGCACCTGGTCTCCCCTCCCCCCACGGGAACTCCACCTTTCTCAAAGAATAGAGTGGCGAAGTCACCCCCATCTACTTCCGGTCCATGGGACCTTATTTCGGAAAAATAATGTATTGAAGTCAATGGAGAGAGAAAACTTATCTTTTGATCCCGTTTGAATTGTGCCATGAATTACACATATGATGTTTGTCAATCTTAAAAAATAATTTCCTTGTCAAAAAAGTCACAGTTTGTCGTAAAACTGTTGAAATATTAGACTATGAAAAATACGCAACTAGAAAGACTACAAATCCCAGAGTCGCGTAAGTGATGTCACAATTGTTTTCCTCCACTAAGAGATAGCTAAGATCAGCGCCATATAGATATAATCTATCTATATGGCGCTGGCTAAGATAAGATAACTTTAACAAGATGCCTGTGTGCTTAGTACCAGGTTGTTATCAAACCAGCAATGGGTCTTGCTCGTTCTTTTGCTTCCCGTCTGATGAAAGGACCAGGAGTGGCTTGATCAAGTTAGCTACCTAGCTAGTAGCTAGCACGTTAGTTAGCATTACAGCCATGTCATTTTTATTAGCCTTAACATGAAGTAACATTAAGTAACCCAAAATGTTAAACAGTAAGAGTAGTAGTCATATTTCGTGAACCCTTTGAAGAGTACTGTCACCGGTGTGATCATTCTATAATACACAATTTAAGCCCGGGGGAGAAATGCTAACGCTAACGGTAGCATCGGCGATCGGCGATCTTTTCTACGTCATGCTATCTGCACAAATGGTTGAAATTAAAAAGACCAGGCAGTTCAGAGAGAATCAAAGGAAGGCAGGCAGGCAGCTTTGCATGACTTTCTTCTGGACGTGTTTCATTGTGGTGATAGTGAGGGTAGTCAATCGTTTTGTTGACAAGACAGTAGTGACGGCCATCTTGGTGACGTGTGTTGTTGACCAGAGATGTAGTTCCTTGAGCGTTTCACACAAACAAATATGTTACTACACAGTTTTACGACACATTTTATTTTTTTTGACTTGCAAAATTATCTTTTAAATTGACAAACATCATATGTGTAATTCGTGGCACAATTCAAACGGGATCGAAAGATAATCTTTCTCTCTCCATTGACTTCAATACATAATTTTTCCGAAATAAGGTCCCATGGAGGTCCACCGGAAGGGGAGGGACTTCGCCACTCTATATGTACACTAACACTTGAACCTCAACACACACATGCACGTGTGCAATATGTGGTGTAATGTGTTTTGGGCCATAACATTAAATTACAACAGGATTGTACGGTTATGAATGCATAATAAGTTAGTTATGATGTAGTTAAAACAATATTGGATGATAGTCATTTTTTCTTTGTGTTTTGGACTGAGATAAATCATGGGTCAAAATTGACCCGCGAACACCATGAACGGTAACAGCTTTTGAACACAACACACGGGTTAAATCAACAAGGTTTAGGTAGTAGTAATTCTGCAGACTATGCAAAACGTGTGTGTATGTTACTAAGTTCTGTTTTTGTAATGTTGAGGGTCGTTTAATTCACTTAAAAAAAAACTACTTTTTATGGCAACATGGCTTCCTTAAATCCAGTACAGCAGGACTTTGTTTTCTCGTATGAACTCAATGCTCGTACGCTGCTTTTATGTGTACAGTGCAGCAGAACATAGTTTGATTTTAATTGGATGTTCCTGCATTTGATAATAGGTTCTTTGACACAGTTTCATGAACCCAGTGGGACTCACTGTGAATCTACCCAACATAAAACATGAATATGCATTTTACTCACTAGATAGTAGCTTGATGTATGTGCCTGGTGATAATTTGAGTTTAATATAAACAGTCAAACTGTCTATTTAAGTCATAAAAGCCTGTATGTATAAAGGATTGTTATTCAACCAGCCTATAAGAAGAGGGGGGGGGGGCATGGGATGCATGAGAGAGAAAACCTATGACATGAATAAGCCCTTTAATGAAGCTGAAAGAATATGACAAAACACAAAGAGCAGCAAAGCAGGCAGTCTCACACACACACACACACACACACACACACACACACACACACACACACACACACACACACACACACACACACACACACACACACACACAAAGACAGCTCAAACAAAGAGTCTTTCTGTACAGACCTGCTGCAGACGCATCCTCTCTGAAGGACTCTACTGTACGCTTTGCATGAGTCTGAGTGTGTGTTTTTGTGTGTGTGTGTGTGTGTGTTAGTAATGAAGGATGTATAGGCGACACACATACAGTCTTTTTGTATAAAGTCCTGAGACTGGAATGCTGCCATTATTAAATGGCTGTGGCCCCTGTTTGCCCTTCTTGGGGCCCTTTTTTCTTTCTATTCACTCCCCTTTTTTTAAAATGTCCATCCTTTCTTGTCTCTCAGTCTTTCTTCTCTTCTGTGTTCATTTGCTGCCCTCAGGACATAAATATCATGTGTGTGTTTTTGTGTGATTCCCCTACGAGACAGATTGCATCAGTGTGACCCCGAGCCTTTAATCTCACAGTTACCAAAGGCGCTTTAACCAGAGGCATGAAATGACGATGATGCTTCATCACAGTTAACAAACAAGGCCATTTTCATAAGTGAAAAATAATATGTGTATCCGCACGATCAGCTCTTAAATGTAATGAGTTAATCTTTGGCTCATGCTACACGCTTCCACCAAGTTTCATGAAAATGGGGCCTGTAGTTTTTCAGTAATCCTGCAGACAGACAAACTAACAACAGGAAAGCATAACATCTTGGGGGAGATAATTCAAAACATAGCCTACATTCGTTTTTTCAATTGATGTTAAGATGTTTCACATAATAGTCTAAATTAAAGTCAGGAGATGTCAGTAGAAATTATCCTCTGAGGAACATGAATAACTTTACACAATGTCATCCATCAATCCATCAAATAGTTGTTCAGATATTTCAGTCTGGTTGTGATTCGTGTTTGAAGCGTGACTACGTTTTAGCCGAGCTCAGCTTGTTGTGTCATGGTGTCATCATGAATGTTAAGCTGCCCACTTCCAGCTCTGTCTGCCTCATCAGCACAATACACACACACACACACACACACACACACACACACACACACACACACACACACACACACACACACACACACACACACACACACACACACACACACACACACACACAAACCCCCACAATGACTCAACTGTTTGATGTCCAAATGAACTTAGTTTGACCTCAAGAACGACACTCAACCCTTTTCTTTGAAGCTAAAAGGACCACATAAGGTATTTGTTCCTAAAAAGAAATACAAATATTATTTTGTTTTCCTCAGGCAATGGAGAGCAAGCTGCTGGTCGGTGGGAAGAACATCATGGATCACACCAACGAGCAGCAGAAGATGCTGGAGATGAAGAGGCATGAGATTGCTGAGCAGGTAAACCTGAGTGTGTTTATAAAGCCCAAAACACATCAAAATCAGAATAGCTGTATTAGTCCCACAGAGAGGAAATGTACAGCAGCACATATTTCTATCACTACAGTAAACTGCATTTACCTGTCAGATAATCTTAACTTTAACAGAAAATCACTGAAGTTCACTCACAGTTTTCAACAGCACTACTTTAAAGAAAGGTTTAACCTGTGTATTGCAATGGAAAAAAACAATGCTAACAGAAATGTAACGTGTTAATTGGTGTTTCCAGTCGAGCAGTGAGAGGGAGATCCAGCAGCAGATGTTGGTGCAGGACGAGGAGACGGTGGAGCTCAGAGAGACGTTCACCTCTCTGCAGCAGGAGGTGGAGGCCAAGACTAAGAAGCTCAAGAAGGTGCACAGACACTGCATGCTTATACAATTTATAAAAGTATACACAATTGCACATACATTCTCATTTAAGCTGCAAATACACACACGTTTACAGCCAGAAGACATCCAGATATCTGTCTTACATGCACACACCTTTCTCTTTGTTCCTAATGTCCGTATATCCCTCTTCACCCCTATTTGACCCCTGACCTGGATCCTAATGACCTCCTGCCTGCGTTCGGACACACACTTAAATAGTACCTGAAGGTTTGTCCTGCCGTCCCCTCCTCTCTGCCGGACCTTCCCCCCCCCCCCCCCCTCCGTAACGCTCTATCTCGGGCCTCTTCACACCTCTCATGCTAACCTTCTCAATCCGTTTTTGTCAAGTTGCTCAGGACCTGCCACTAAATCCCTCAGTGCCATCCATGAAACAACAAACCCTCCCCTACTTGCTTCCTACTCCGTTGCACGGCCAGCAGGACTAACCCCAAGTGTGTGTGTGTGTGTGGATGCCAATGTGATTAATGACCCTGTGATGATCCTTGCTCTCCTGATGCCCTGACGTTACCTTCTCCTGAGCATGGTGTCGTCTCTCTGAGGATTAAGATTAATCACGCTGTAATTTAAGAGCTCAGACGGCTCTTTTTACTGCTAAATTACAACAGAGTGGTTCATAATTGTCAGAAAGAACTTTTTTAAAGGGTACTTTTGGTATGTTTTAACCTAAATCCAATTCTTTCTCTGTTTTTGCATCTAAGTCACTATTGAGGACAACCATTTCTTTAGTTGTTCCATTTTTGTGCGAGAGCGTTGCAGACAGCAGTTGTAAAATTAGCTTCAATTTAATCATATCGCTCCTCTGACTTCAGTAGATTTCTTGTTCTGGTGAGGTTTTAAGGAAAGGAAATGCAGTCATGAAACATACTGAACTTCCCTATCAGTGCTCTATTTTACAAAGTATACGAAAGCATATAAACTCACTTAATGCGTGACCATAAAACGATACATCTGTCTAGTTTTGCAGTGTTTATTTACCTGCCGTCAGTATCTCTGACGGGCCTGTGGCTAATTAAGCCTTTGTGTTACGTTTAATTCAAGCTTTAGTTCCATGAATATTTTATATAAAAGACTACGAATCACCATCTCACATGTGATGCTTGGACAGTTTCCCAGAAACAAGAGGTAGAATGTGAATGCAAGGAAATAATCAACAAAACACCTTTTAATCCATCCGAGACGTACCTCTTGAGTTTCAAGCATCATGTCCTTGTGCACTGGAATTCTTTGCATGGTCCACATTTTAATACTTTTCAAAATCTCAAAATGATTTTAATATTAAATGCAATTCTTAAGTGTTTTCTTTTCTAAAAAATGAAGCTGTCACAACCCAAGTTAACTACCAGCTGCTTCTCACAGATCAGATTCTCCCTCAGAGAGGAACACTTGCAGAGTCATCTCTCAGCTAACTACACTCAGGATTAACCTACTTGTAAAGCCTGTTCACTCAAAGCATGAACAGAGGAGGAAAGAGGAGGAGGAGAGATGGAGGGCGGCCATGTTGCCTCGCTCCCATTGGCTGCCCATCTCTCCAGACACCAGTGCCTCCAGTGCTGTTGCTACAGGCAACCAAGCTACAGTTCCTCAGCGACATCTCTCCCCCTCCTCCTCACCCTCTTTCTTTCCCCTTCCTTTCTCATAGCTGTATGCCAAGCTTCAGTGCATTAAAGCGGAGATCCAGGACGTGAACGACGAGCACGTGAGGAGCCGGCAGGAGCTGGAGCAAACCCAGAACGAGCTCACCAGAGAGCTCAAGTTCAAGTGAGTCTGAAACATAAACAGCACAGAGTCCGCAGAGTCAGCAAATATGCCGGCATGGTTCTGCAAACACGTCCGAAATGTGCATGTTTCATAGAGATGACATACTGCAAACACTGACAGAATCTGGTGTATTGCCAAGTACACAAACCATGGATAACAAATAAACATAGTATGAGAATACAAATTAGTATAAAAATAATACTTGAAAAAAGAAAAGTAATCTATATGTCTATACAAAATTATACTATGAAATTATATATTTTTTTATAAAAGGAAAATGAATATAATGTAGAAAAATACACAAGTTACTGTGAAAAATATGGACATTTTATCTGATTTAAAGGTCACCTATCATGCTATTTTTAGGAAATAGCATAGGTCTCAGATATATAAAAATATATAAAAAACATTTTTTATTTTTCTCTAGTAATGTTTGTAAAAGTGCACAATTCAGACCTTTTTTTCATCAAACTAACCCTCTGCAGGTATCTGATCATCGAGAACTTCATCCCTCCGGAGGAGAAGAATAAGATCATGAGCCGACTGAACTTCGACACCGAGGAGGACCAGTGGAAGTTTCAGCCTCTGGTTCCCGCAGAAAGGTCAGAGAGTCGGGATGTTACTCCCATCTGGGCCATCAGGTGGAAAGAATGAACTCAGAAATCTGTTTCATTTCAGTCAGGGGTCACAACCTTTTGACCTGCTTGCCCTCTGTGTCCAGTGGTGAAATGTTATGAAGTACATTTTGAAATCAGATCAGAAATACTTTTATCCCGGGGAAATTGCGTTTTACGTCAGTTGTTGTAAAACGAAATGCTTATATAAACATAAGAAGTAAAAATGTGCAATAAAAAAAAACTAGATCTCACTTAAACATAAGAAAATGAATTAAAAATGTCCAATGAAGGATAAAGTAGAATACAAATTATATATAAACATAAGAAGTTAAGTGCCAGCATATTTACTCTTACTGCTCTATGCAAATGTATACTTCTTCTCTACTACATTTTGAAAGCAAATTGTACTTTTTACAACTTCTTAAGTTACAGATTAACATGATTAGATAACAAATCTAAATCAACTAATAAAGAAGCATTGACGTATAATTATATGTAGGGATATCAAGCAGCGGTTTATTAAATAATTAATTAGCTTCAACTTTACCAGCTGTAATAGACCAATGCAATAATTATCACAACACATGTATATACAATATTATCATAAAGTGTAATGTATATGATGCTAAAAGGGTACTTTTAGTTTTAGTAGATTGATAACAATACATTTTACTTAATTAAGATTTTGAATGCACAGTATTTGAAGAGTTTGGTTCCAAAACGCTATAAATCCATTTTGATTAATTTGAGTAAAATGTGTTTTCTTTACCAAGAAAAGTGGCAAGTGAAAACCACTATTTTCTGTTTCAAACTTTCACATAGCATATTGAGGTTATAATAACAATACAAATTCAAATCCAGATTTAGATTTTCAAAGATTTATTTAAAAAACTGATTATTTTTTTCCCAAAATGAAATAAATCCATGACACGCTTTTTTCCTCAAAATGCAATAAATCCATTGCATCAATATAGTTAAAGTTATTTTTCATATTGAAACTGCAAAAATACATAACAGTAAGTAAGTTGATCTACATATGACAGGGTTCTTACGGTCATTAAAAACCTGGAAAAGTCATGGAAATTCAAAATGCTAATTCCAGGCCCTGGAAAAGTTATGGAAAACAATATTTTTCCCAAAGTTTTGGAAAAGTCATGGAAATGTAACTAAAGTTGCATCAAATATAATTTATATTTGATCTAATCGCCGAAATAGTAATACTATAATGAGAATAAATACTGTATCGTATAGTAATGAAACGTAAAATGGCATTTAACTGTCGAGGTATTTTGCTGGTGAGAGATTTGAGTTGCTTTAGCGTGGAGAAGCTAGTAAGCCTACTATTGGATTTGTTTTAGATAGGCACGACATGTTTCATATGCAGACCTTATTTTCCTGTTCCATGTTAAAATATACCATTTTCAGTGGTACCGCTGAGAAAGAGTAATTTTTTTGGTCATGGAAAATTAGGTAAAGGTCATGGAGAAGTCATGGAAAAGTCATTGAAAATCATTGGTGAAAAATTGATATGAAAACCTCTGATATGAAAACCTCTGAACTTGGTCAATACTAATCTTATATATGGGCACTGGGCCAAAAATACATCAGTCATCGCTCCCAACATTTATTTAACGGGTCATCTTGTTAATGCTACACATTCATTAAAATAATAAAACATTACATGTGAGAAAAATGTCATAACAACAATATCACATTAGACCACAGAAATTCCCAAATCACATTCCTCTTACATTCATCTTTGCCATGTTACATTCATATAGTTGACTAGTGCTGTACGATTGTCTTGTGCATACTATAAATCCATTGAATTAATATAACAATATTTCTGTGTAAAAACATTCAACAACTTATGGTTCATTAAGAGTGGAATGGTCACTCTCAAAAGGCTGGCACAATGGGCAGCTACTGTCAAAGTCAACCTCATTTATCTGTGACTGAGAGAGTGCATCATCATAGAAGGCACGCACATTGTCACTCACACCAATTTCAGATGTTAGGTAGGTAGTCCCTTCTAGTACTCCTGCTCTTTCTAAAGATCAGAAATATCCATAAGAAAAGACACATTTTGAACAATTTATGAATGCAACTTTTACTTAAAGGTGGGGTAGGTAATTTTGGAGAAACCAGCTCGAGTGCGCTAGAATTTGAAAGTACACAACCGGAAAAAATCTGCCCCTTCCTTCAGACTTCCTTGCAGAGCCCCTCCTCCAACACACACGAACGCACACATGACCAATGAGGGCACGAGATAAGTTTGTGCACAGATGGAAGGCTGACAGGCAGGTAGGCCATCCAGTTATTTTAGCCGGGCCGGCTAACATGATTGGTCGTGCTTTTTACAGCGCCACGGCTTCCACAGATGAATTTTTTTTTAGCAGCATTTAATATATTCATTGCTATCGGGATGTTAAGAGCATTCCATGGAATATCACAAAAAGTGTTTCTGAAATAAATTACATACCCCACCTTTAAGCAGCTATTTGAGAACATCTTCCAGCACTTCCTGTATCACTCGCTCTTCTTCTGTGGTTCCTTTCCGGTCATCCCCCAAAGCTATTGGATTAGAAACAGACTTGTTAACTGTCGATGTTGTTAAATTCACAACTGGAGAGAAAGAGTGATGTTTTTCTTTTGAAGAGGAGCTTCTTGAAGATGCATCTTGGCCTCTTGCTACATTAATTCCTCATTGATTGCTTCCCGTCTCTTCTTCTTCTATTCAGTAAATCCTCGCAGATGAAGAAGAGGCCGGCATCTGCAGTTGGATACAAACGACCAATCAGCCAGTACGCCAGGGTTGCTATAGCAATGGGACCTCACTCCAGATACAGGGTAAGTGTGTGTGTGTGTGTGTGTGTGTGTGTGTGTGTGTGTGTGTGTGTGTGTGTGTGTGTGTGTGTGTGTGTGTGTGTGTGTGTGTGTGTGTGTGTGTGTGTGTGTGTGTGTGTGTGTGTGTGCGTGTGTGTGTGCGTGCGTGCGTGCGTGCGTGCGTGCGTGCGTGCGTGCGTGCGTGCGTGCGTGCGTGCGTGCGTGCGTGCGTGCGTAAAGGAATACTTTACTAAACATCGACCTTCTGATTATGGAAATAACAACCCTTGAATGTTTGCTATGTTATATTCTTAAAAAATTATATTAATTTACCTTTGAAAGTGGAATATCGCTTTAATTCATTCACTTTTTAAACCACAAGGTGCATAATGACCTTGAGGTTAAAATCATAGATAAATAAAGTACTTTTTTCACAATGACTAAGAATATGTTTTTTACATTATCAAAACACATTTACACTATAATATAACAGGTTTTGTTAATTAGGTGATAATGATTATTATACAGTGTTTTTAATCTCTATTAAAAACTATGAACAAAGAACGATAGGTCATAAGCATTGAGCAGAACGAAATCATAATATAAAAAAACCTAATTCAACTTGAAATATTTAAACTAATCAGAGGGGATTGGAAGTTGAATCTGGCACCACAGTATGCAGTATGCAGTATGTGATAGTCCCTAAAAAAAGAGAATTACAGGCTTGTGTTTGATGTGATAGAGACATTATGAATTAACAAATGAACGTGTGTTTTCAGGCTGAGAACATCATGTTTCTGGAGCTGGACATGACTCCTCCGAACACCGCCTCTCTGGACCGATCCACAGACTCTGAGCCGAACCAAAGCCCCTCTCTGGACGGATCGCCCACCAAGGAGGGCGGCGTCCGCAAGTCCCGCTCCTGGTGAGCCTGAACTTTATTTATTAGCATTACATCATCTTCTAATATCGTCTTACCCCACATGTTTTTTTTATTCTTTATTTATTTAGGGTCACATTTTATTAAAAGTACAGTTTTGCATATCATATATTTCTAGAGACCCGAAAATGACAAATTAAATACTGAACGAAATTGGTGAAATAAAATAAAAACGAAAAAGTATATAGGGGTTGTTTGAAATGACAAATGTACACATGTATCTACTTACACACACACATTTATATATAGACAAACATGTACGTACACATACATACACATATACATACATATATATATATATACAAACATGTACATACACACATATACACATACACCCATAGATGCATACCCACATACCCATACTCCTACATCAACATACATACCCCACATTTTCATAAGCGTCTGTTAATTGTGTTTCTTGGTGCGTAGGAATTTCTTCTTGAATAGTTTTTCTACTGGACTAATTATCTAATATTCTGACTTAATTGTTTAACTGTAAAATGTCCCGCGCCTTACATTTCATGATCACAATAATATAAAAATATGATTTCCCATCATTGTGGTTATGTAACTACGGTAGATAAAAATCTGCCAGTGTACCGTCAGCATTTTTTGTTCAATGAAATTGACTTTGTCCTGGCATCAGTCTGTTGTATAAAACTGATAAAATATGATGTTTTTCACCATAAAACCAAGGTTTGTTTTGGTATATTCAATCTGTTTATTATGAAATTCAACCATTATGATTTATAGTATAGATTTGAAGAAATATGTGTGTGCAAAACGTGCTTTTACTGGCCTGTATGTGACTAGTGTAATGGGTTTAGAGTCAATGCGTCTCTAAATGGGATTATTAAGGATCAGCTGCTCCCTCTGTGGGTGGTCCTAATCTCATGGTTTATCTCTCATTAACTCTGCAGCCTGTAATCTCAATGTTGCTTAATAATCGTAATTAACCTGTGTCTAGACTATAGGAAAAGGCATATATATACATCATACATTTACATTTTTAATTTCTACTTCTTCTTTTTTGTTTTTTGCAGGTGCCAGACTCCAAAATCCATCACTTCCTCTTCTTCTAATGTCTCCTTGGCGGCGTGTCACACTGCCACACCGATGACGGCGCAGTAAAGCTTTAGTGGAGAGGATTTATTTTATTGTTATTTATTAAATTCCTCCACTTCTTCTTCCTTCTTTTTCTCTTTAAAATGTTGGCCAGTGATCCTTTAAAAGACTTCTGAGACACACCTGAGGGGTGATAAACTAAATTACATGTGAAGGATAGGCTAAAAAGGAGGTGATAAACTACAGGACAAGAAACTAAATTACCTAATGAACTTCAGAAACTCTTTGAAACGTCACTTCCTGCTGTTCTACGGATGTAAAGACCCACCAAAACCTCTCTTCCTTTGCATGTTCGAGCCTCGGATCATCCTTTAAAACAGCTCAGTGTGTGTGTGTGTGTGTGTGTGTGCGTGTGTGCGTGCGTGCGTGCGTGCGTGCGTGCGTGCGTGCGTGCGTGCGTGCGTGCGTGCGTGCGTGCGTGCGTGCGTGAGTGTGTCTGTGCGTGTGTGCGTGTGTGTACAGGGCTGTATGATTGCCAGTGTGTGTGTGTGCTTTAACTGTACACTGATCTGAGAGCTCACAAACTGCTTGAATCGCCTGTAAGATATAAGTGTAAATATTTCATGTATTTGGGGGGGGTTCGGGGCAGGCTTCGTCTGTTTTCTGTGTAAAAGTGGGGACAGTTGGATAAGAAATGCAAGAAGAAAAGTAGAAAATATTGGTGTGATGTGTGTATTTGTTGGTCAGATGAGCTGCTGCGATGACCGTTAACACAGCTGTTTTCTGTCATTATTCCTCTGTGTGTCCTCCACTCTCTGATCTTAAAAGCAAAGCCTTAAAATAATGATTACAATTGAATAATGTGAGGTTGTCACACACAAAACACTTGACTTGGATTTTTATTCATAAAAGTCCATCAGGTGAAATGTGTACCTCTTTAAGATCAGTTTCCAAGGTCCATTTACCACAGTAACATCACTAAGGTACTAATCGAGCCTAAAATCACAGGAACGGTAGCTTGATGAAAACAAAGTGTTAACTGACTGACGAGTTGGATTTCGTTTTAGAGTCTTAATCATGTGATCATCTGATATCAGTCAACTAAACTTATATGATGATAATGAAGATGGAGATATTTAAACGTTGATGTTGGGCCTCCAGTGCAGCGGGTATTGAGTTTGTTAGACCGCAGTCTGCAGGCAGGTGTGTACAGTTTATTGTCACTGGGTTCTTTACTGGAGGTTAAGAGCAGCAGACAGTGGGGGGGCAAGGCGGACTAATTATCACTGTTTTATTCATGCCACAGATCCAGTATCAGCTGAACCCCCTGAGAGCACAGAGCAGCCCTTTAAGAGTGTATATAGACAACATTTATTATCAATGAGCTGCTGATTTGTCTTGTTTTTTAAGCATTAATTTTACAGTATGTTATACTTGGCATCGTCCCTCTTTGTGTGCACAATGTTTCATGACCCAAACGTGAATGATATGATTGATAACAGCTAATAATGTGTCCGAAATCTGCAGTGATATGTCAGTGTTGGAGTATTTTAAAGGTATGCAACATTTACTACAAATTGTTGTTGCAGTAAAATATGTTTATCACACATTCCCAGAGCACAATGTGACTTATTTTGTTTGACCGTGGGGTTCAAAACCCAAATAATTTGATATAAAACAGAACATTTTCATATATGAGAAGCTAGAGCCAGAACCTCTTTGACCTTTTGGCTTAAAATATTGTTTCATAAGAGGGTTTATTGACACTTTCTCTCATCATATACAGTTAAAATGACCAAATTAGGGGGTTTAGGGGTTGAAAACAGTTAGATTTGGTTTTCAGTGGATTCTAAATCTGTGTTAACCTGCTTCCCTCACTGTCTCAAACATGTATGGATGCACACTGAGGATTGTGTGTTTAGTCATTGGTTACTGGGCACATCATTGACCCAGTTTGTTAGTTAAAAAAAAGAAAAGTGACTCAAAATGCTCTGAGGCTCCATGGAAATATGTATAATACATGCAACTGTAATGAAGTGAAATATTCAACACAAATTGAAGATATATTGTAGAATTAATTGGATTTGGAAGCATTATAAGGGCCACGTTTACATTAGTTTCTCTTCAGAAAAGGGACTAAAATGATGGTATTCACTGTAAAATGTGATACATTGTTGTTACTGAAAATGGCTCCTTTTAAATATATATCTGCTGTGTTTATTTCCCCTGTGTATAATGCAACAGTCTGCCTCAAAATATCCATGAAATATGATCTAAATTATAGAGGAAGACAGTGAAACAAGGATGAATGTAATTCGGTTGAATGATTAAGAAAACAAACAGCTGTTTTCCAGTCTGTGTTGCCTCAAATATTTGCTAATTTATAAAGATTTTGCCACATTAGTCTATAAAATCATTCATGTACATTTCCCGTGTGTGTGTGTGTGTGTGTGTGTGTGTGTGTGTGTGTGTGTGTGTGTGTGTGTGTGTGTGTGTGTGTGTGTGTGTGTGTGTGTGTGTGTGTGTGTGTGTGTGTGTGACGCTATGGGGGAGGATGTCTGCAGGGATCTGAATACAATCAGGAAGTGACTGTGGAGGAGGTGGATACGGAGCCTGTTTCCATGGTAACCTGCCAATGTAAAATGTTGGGATGGATGGGGGGAGGGGGCTGTATCTATATGTATGTATAACATGGTGACGAAAAAAGAAAGAAAATCAAATAAAGATGTTGTCACAGGCGCCTGCTGTTCCATCAATCATGTTTAAAAATCTCTAATCATTTTTTTAAACAGTTAATTTATGTTATTATGTTGTTTTTGAGGCTCCGTTCGTTTCATTGAAGCAGAAGCTGTTCTTGCTGTGATCTAAATAACATGCAACATTTCCAAAATCACTTTAAAACGACACCACAGACCAGATACACCTACATAATAAAACAACTAGCTCCATAACATGGCATCTAATAGTTAGTGACGGATGTTTTGGAAAAGATGCACACATATGCACAACAATTTAGCATTATAATACCAAATCTATGAAATAATCATACAAAATATTTAAAGAAGACATATTATGCACATTTTCAGGTTCATATTTGTACTTTGTGTCTCTCCTGGGACATGTCTCCTTGCTTTAATGTTCAAAAAGCTCTTTATTTTTCTCATACTGTCTGTGCTGCAGCACCTCTTTTCACCCTCTGTCTGAAACCAGAGCCCAGTCTGCTCTGATTGGTTAGCTGGCCGGCTCTGTTGTGATTGGTCAACCGCTTAGAGATGTCCCTCCCCTCGGCCTATCATGTACAATGTGTTGGAGTGCTAGCCAATAGAAGCACAAGTGTTATATACTGATGTCACTATGTTACAGAAGCAAACAAAGGAGTCCAATGGAGGCGTTTCAGGCAGGTGTGTGGGGGAGAAACTATTCAGCCTATTATTTGTCAGTTTTCAAGTTTGGATGTCTTAGGGGTTGGGTTGAAAAATCTCTAGTATTCAATATAAAATATACCTCCAGTCAGTCCGTTTTCAGGTGTTTTACTAGTTTCAAAGTAGTCTGAAACACACAGACAGTCTTCTAGACGAACACAGAGATTTATGAGCGTCACCACACACATATCACATAGTCAGGTCTGGTGATGATGACTCACAGGTGACACACACACACACACACACACACACACACACACACACACACACACACACACACACACACACACACACACACACACACACACACACACACACACACACACACACACACACACACACACAGGTCTATAAATTCACTCATGCCATCAGAGTTTTAGTGTTCTCCGCTCTCCTCCCCCTCCCTCCCCATATTTCATATTTTACGAGCAGAGAGCAGCTTTAATGGGACACATTTTCAATTCAGCCACACTCCAAGTTAACATCCCAGGATAAACAAGATTAAATATAGATTGTTCTCTCTTAATATTTACAGGTACAATTAGAACAAATTAGATCACAGAACCCTCTCTTGGATATTAAAATAAGAACACTGGTGTTGTTATTCATCAAGAACATCTCACTGACAATGAACACTTTTTTGGTAATTCCCTAATGACATAACTCTCCTTAGCACCAGTTAGACTTTTTTATCTAATATTCATCCATCATCTAATGCTTATTCTGCTCCCTTTTTTATGAATTCATGGGCTATTTTTCTATAATTTATCTGTGTGAGACTGCACACTTAACCCAGCTGGGAAAAGTCTGGTTGGCATTGTTTTAAAAATGTATAGTTGTTTATTTGAAAGCAGCATTGAGGCCAACAGTCTGTGGTTAATATGTGTGTGGGTTCTGCCCTCTGCTGTAAGAGGAGGAAACATCTTCATAACTTATGATGCAGCATCTGTACAAGCTCAATGCTAATTTCATCCATAACATACAGTAAATCTACTGGGAAAGAAGTATTTATCATAGTTGCCAGAGTTATAATTGTATTATCGAAGCTTTCACTGACATTCAATTGGACTGAAAATAAGATATCCAAATGGTCTGCTCATGTAAACTAACTCAGACAAACAAATAAACCACTTAATGTCACGATATGAGCACATATACTGCAGTAAAACACAGTATAGTATTTATTGAAAAAAATACAGTATCTTGATCTGCAAGCGGCTGAAAACCCATTCCCTAATCGTTTAACGTTCATAGTTGTTGGGTATGAAAAGCTATAAACACATTTGTGTTCATTTGACTTTGTTCCTTAAAACTCTGTTTACAGTTGGTGCTGTTATATAGTTAAAATCCTCCTTGTTGTACAGATTGTGGGCTGCCATGAATTAGGGTAGACAGCATATTTAATTCAGGTCACACAGCTACAGCATCACACGAACTACTACCACTGTAAAAATAATGCCGACTAAATGGTAAATTATGAATGAATGTATGTCTGCTGCTGGTTCAACAGAAAGCTGAATGTGTTTAAATGTTGGAGCAGTCACAAGAAAGCGAAAAGCTTGTAGGCTTGTTCTGCAGCTCCCTCTGTTGGTGAAAGGATGGAAATACACTTGTGTATGATGATAATGATCATTATTATTCAGAAGATTACTATTGATTAAGCCATACAGAACAAAAATGTCCTCACCTTTACCAGCTGCAACATTAAACTGATTAACGCATTAATGCATTAATATGACATTATTTTTGTTTTGTTTTCTTAACAGCTATTTTACATGATTATTAGGCTTCTTTTTTGTTAGGCTACTTTAAGTACAAGTAAAAATGGTGGTACTTTAACACAATTACAGCTTTAAATGCATTACTTTTAGTTGTAACAAATTACTTTTATACTGTAAAATATTAAAAAAAAAAAGAATTACGTGATATTTCATCTTTATCGAATGCATTTGATGGATTTTTGATGGTCACATACTTGAGCGGTGATTTAGTGACTACAAATGCAAAAGGAAGTATGGATACCTTCAAAAGTACTTAATCAAATAAAACGTTTTTTATAAAGTACATCTGTTGGAAATGCTTTGTTGCAGTAGATTAAGCAACACATTGATTTCATTTTACAAAATCATATACAATTTGACATTTTAATATACAAATGTATGATATGGTCTATGGAGGTGATTAATAAAATGGATTTAACAAACTTTTTATTCAAAATTACATTATTTCACAATTATGAATTCATGTCATAGAGAAAACACCATGTGATAGACTAAAATGAACATTACATGGAACTTGATGTTCATACTTGTTCACTGTTGCTTTTACTGCTGTGTGACCTGAGTGGAGTAATCTAACAGAGGAACTTTATAGAAACCAGAAGGATATTCACACCTGAGATCCTCAACAGGACTGAGGAAGGTCACATTGGTCTTGTTCAGCCAACTCAGGAAGCTCTTCAGGTTTGAATCACAGTGAAATCTGTTCATATTTAAGTCGAGGAAGCTGAGAAAGCGTAAAGCAGCGGGGTCCGGGGAGGCTACAAAGTTGTTGGAGAGGTTGAGTACTTTGAGACTTTTGGGTAAGACATCATTGTGGAGATAAGTCAAGCTGTTGGAGGAGAGATCCATCTCCACTACTGATGTGAGGCCCTTAAAAATGCCTTGAGGAAGAGACTTCAGCGCGTTGAGTCTCAAGTCGACACCAATCATATGTCCAAGATTGTCAAACAAGTTCAAGCATCTCCTCTGAGACCAGATAGCCTGCAGGGAGCTGCTGTGAAGATCCAGAACTTGGACTTCGTTTAAACCAATTGCTGAAGCTCGTCCACTGAGCATGCACCTCCTGATTGTGTTTCCTCCGTAGAGAAGATGCTTCAGGCGCTTTAACTGAGTAAACAACATGTGAACATCCCCAAGGTTTGTTAATCTGTTGTCCTGAATGTTCAGATGCATGACATTACCAGACAACCGTGCAATACTGCTCATTGACGTCAGTTTATTGTCTTTCAACAGGAGGTAATCTAAACTAGGGAGGGATGCAGGGAAGCCGAGGTCACGCAATGAGTTTCCTGTTAGATACAGTGCTTTTAATTTGGGAAGGCCACTAAATGCGCCATAACCAAGAGCACCAATGTGATTGTAAGACAAGTCTAACACTTCCAGGTTTGTCAGAGAAGCAAAAGTGTGAGAGTGGATTTCCCCCAATAGGTTGTGTGACAAGTTGAGCATTTTTACATTTCCCTGTAGACCTTCAAAGGCATTTCTGTGTATCTGATTCACTTTGTTTTGGGAAACGTCAATGATTGCGACTTCTTTCAGTGGACTAAAAACCCCCTGTTGCAATGCAAATATCCTGTTTTTAGACAGATCCAAAGTGCGGATTGAGCTCTCATTTAGTCCTTGAAACGTGCTCCGGTCTGGATCAGGGAGGTTATTGAATGAAAACCCTTTACCCATGTGTCCTGACATAATGAGGTGGGAGATCTTAGTGCCCTTAATTGCTGAGAAAAAATGCCTAGATTTACCCACACTGAACCCATTGTTGGACAGATCGAGTGTCTGAAAGGACATTCCTCTGAAAGGATTCCCACATTTCTGCCAGTCAAAACGTTCATTTAACATAGCCTTAAGGTGAACAGAGCCCAAGTTGAGAAACTCAAAGTTCTTCCCCTGGAAACCAACCAGATCAGACTCACATATTCTGTCAATTTTGTTCAATTTGAGATTAAGAACTTTCAAATGAGTCATGTTTGAGAAGAACATTGCAGGCTGGAGAGTCTTTATCTGGTTACCAAACAGGTCAAGAGACTGTAAGGACGACAGTGGCTTCAGAAAGTTCTCCTTCAGGATGGTGTCTTGAAGTGAGCAGTAATCCAGGTGGAGATTCTGCAGACCGGACAGTCCAATAAAAGCCTGAGGTTCCAGCTGAAGGCCGATGTTGAACCCGAGCACCAGCCTCCTCAGTCGGCTTTGACCGCTGAAGGAGTTGTTTCTGATCACAAGAGGCACATACTGCCGTCCGAGGTCCAGCTCCTGCAGCTGCTCCAGCCCCGACAGGGAGGAGGAATTAATCTCAGAGATGTGGTTCATCTCCAGGAACAGGTGGGTGATGTGAGGAGGAAGAGGAGGGACCCAGCGCAGGTTGTTGGAGCCACAGTTAGCTACAGAGCCAATAATGAGGCATGATGGAAAACAGCCTGGCACCTGAGGGGACATTAAAACATTTAAATTAGATGTCATTTAGCTGATGCTTTAGACATGCCTTACGGGAGCAATTTGGAGTTAAGTCTTGCTGAAGATCACAGCACACATTGACTGCAGGAGGGATCGAATCACTGACCCTCTGATTGATAGACGCCCATTTACCCCTGAGCTACAGCCACCCTAATGGATCAGTTACTAATTAATGTTTAAATGTAAACAAAGATTTTTTTCGTGTTGTGTTGGTTAGAAATATTTTGTGTTTGATGTATATTTTGAAGTCAAATCTGAACAGGTTCCAAAATATAAAAAAACATGCATAGAATTTAGTGAGTATTAGTAATAGACAACACATATTTTACTTTTGGAGCAGTTAAATATATACAAATAGATAATGCACAAAAGCAATACATTTTTAAAGCATATTATAACGTCCTGTTGTGTTGCCTTTTCTAATGAAAGAGTTAATAGTTTAACATATTTAGTGACATCACGAAGGGCTACATAAACACTTGTTGTCTTAAAATGTAGATGTTTTCTACATGTTCAGTATAAAAAAAGTGTAATTTTAATGGTATGTTACCTACCTGAAGGAAAACACAGATGACGACCACCTGAAGACCCAGTGTCCACATCCTCAGACTGTTTGAAGAAGTAGAGTTAATAGATCAAATAATGCCCCACTGCTGCAATGTAAAAATCAGAGCTCCATTCTGCAGAGAATTCTGTTGGCAGCGCTTTTATCTCCTAATGTTTGCGTAACTTCTGTCTGGCATTGCATTGATCCTACAGTGAAAACCTGACGCAGGTTGGGAGTTCCCTTTCTTTTGGTCAGATTTACACAAGGAAGAAAAGTCCAGTTGCGTGTTAAAGTCTTGTGTTGCCATGCACTCTATGTTTTGTTGATGTTATTGAGGTTAAGATGGTACATTGACTGTTTTCCAAAAATCTTGATTCCTGTCTCCAACATTTTCGGTTAGATACACTTTAAATGTCATTAATATGGATTTTAGAGGATAATTTAAACATCTCTAATGTATCAGAGTAATAATTTGGCAAATATGTTAATTTATGTCTACATCTGTACCATCTATATTGCCTGATATAGATACGTTTCATATAGATATGCTAAACTATGATTATATGCTCAAGGCTTTGCACTTGTCTGTTTGGGAAACTATCCAGCAAATGATTGTCTAAATTACTTGGCCTATACAAAATGGTCAATGTTTTTCTTTTCAATACGAAAACCCTGTAGAGTCCACTGTGTGTGTTGTTGAATCACACTGGGCTGGTGAATTTCACAACGTCTGGGGAATGAAGGTTTGTCCAATACAATAAAAAGAGGAAGAGAGAGAGAGATTGAGTTGCATTGTGGCATTATTGTCAAATCTAGTCACTTATAGAATAGAGCATATTATTGTTGAGTTAAGTAGTGATGTATTAATGTGTACAGTTTGCTTTAATTTAAAGCAGAGGATTTGATTTGTCCGTGCTGCTGGCTTGTGAATTTCACCAAGGGATGCATATGTCCTATCCTATCCATGATAATAAATCAGAATGTATTTGTAAATTATATTTTATAACTTTGATCTTAAGGTAGCCCACTAATTAAAGCAGTATAGTAAAAAATGACTATATTTCCTCTGAATTAGATGAGTAGAAACTTACTGACATAGCAGAAAATGAAAATAATAAAACTAGGATATGAAACCTCAAGATTCTAGGCTATTTAAACATGGATCCCTGACATAACAAAATATGGGCCTGTGACAATTAGGTTTTACTTATGAAACATTGTTTTCGTTTGATCTCAAATCAATTACTGTATGTCATTATATCCACATCTTGAGTAAATCATGCTGTTATGTCGGGGAAAACTGCATTTGTAATTTTGAGATAATGAAATAGAAAACTCATGATCTCAAGAAAACAAATAAAAGTAGCCTAACTTTTCATGAAAGGAAGATGCTAAAATGTTTGAACCCTGTTATTTTGGGAAACAACATTTGTTATTTTGAAATGTGATATATAACTCATGGTCTTAAGAACACTAATTAAATGATCTTTTTGTTACAGAAAAACTTTGGCCATGGCTGTGTATGGCTTCCATTCTAAATGTAACTTTCGGATAAACTTTTCACTACTATTTTAAGTGTGATTATATATGTAAAAACGTCAGGCTACAATATTTGAGAGTATTTAGACTTCTTAGTTACTTTCCACCACTGAACTTATTGTAAAATATCCACAATTGTGCTTGATTAGCTCTAATAGCTCCAACTTCCAGTTAGCATGCTAGCAAGTGTTTAATTAGCAGAGCAAAAAAAGTAACGGTTGGAATGACGTTCAAGAGAGAACGTGAACCGTTGTAAATTGTACCGGTTAAAGCAACGGATAATGTGAACGATTTATACGCCATCTTTTCGCCATGAAAAATAAGTGAGTGGCAGTGAAACTACATTAAAAGTGTATTATTTCATGTAGAATCCGTAATTAGCCGGTTGTGTGTCAGCGGCACACACCGCTCACTGTCACCGGGGTGGGGAGGGGGCAGGACGGACCGAAGAGAGGAGTGACTTTTCTTTCAAAAATAGTACACTTCATCACGGCAGCAGCCACCGGTACAGCAGCTGAAACAGAGGAGGGTGTGAAACATGGCTCTTTAAGGAAATAAATAACGGGATATTATTATTTCAACACGGCGAAAAAAGGAAGCGGATATTTCTTTCAACTGAGAAGAAACTGCGTTTAAGTTAGAACCACACGTTTCAGTGTTGATATTTGGACACGAATACCTGCCGAAAATAGTCCCAGTGAGTAGACTCCTTTTTTACAGCCCGTTAAGGCATTAAACACAGCCTCAAAATTGTTTTTATGTTGTAGAATACGTAAAGCTGACTTGAAATGTATATATATTCGTGTGGTGGGTTAGAGGAACACATTCATTTCATTCGGGGGAACAAGGTGAACAGAGAGTTAAACTTTTCTGCAACATGGCCGCTCAGATGTCACATAGCTTACCAGAAGTAATGTTAGCAGGACTAAAATGAGCTTTGACTCAGTGTTTCTGAAATCTATGGCCACTCAATGTGTCCACAAAAGGACGTTGGAATATAGTTTTTGAAAAATGTGTCTAAATGCGTTGCCTTTCCTGTCTTGAGTGATTTAGTAGACCTAAGTCAAGCCCACTTTTCAAATCAAAACTACTATTGGTGTTTGACCCATAACTTTGCTAGTAGTGCAGTTTATATGGGAGGAACGTTTATCCATTCAACAATTCCATCAGAAAAACAATGTTACGTTACCTGGTCTATTGACAGACATTCAGGCTTTCTTGAACAGGTTTTTCTCAAATAGTCTGTGTCCTCTGTCAAATTTGGCACACTGCAAGTGTGGTTTAACTGCGTATGCACAATTACAATGTAACAAGCTGAATGGAAACAGATGCTTTAACAAACTCACTAGAGAGAATGTTATAATAAGGAAGCCAATGTTAGGGCTGATACATTATTTTATCAGACCAGTGAATTTAAATGGTTAAATCATTCAGAATAATATGCTTAAATAAACTATTAGCAGTCTAATAAATCATTGTATTTGACCTGTGGGGTCAGGTGAAATGATTCATCACACCACGACCTGCCAAAGGGTGTTATTGGAGACCGCCTGAGCATATTCTGCCAGGGCTAAGAGATCTCCACCCCTACACACAAAAATGTGTTTAGAGTATATATAAAGTGCAGATATTATAACAGTGTAAAGACACGGTAAAATAACTTCTAAATGACCTCCAACATTTTCATTGGTGTTGTTTCTCCACCAATGATTATGTGAATGCCAGAATAACATTCAAGTAGTTTTCTCTTTCAGCAATTGTTATTTACCATTGTTAAAGTACACAGCCACCGTCAAAGCAGCTCTGTATGTATGTCTTTGTTCATCAGATCAGCAGCTATGGATCAAACCTTTCCAATCTTTTGCTCCCAGTGGAGGAAACCAAACAGAGAGGGGTGGCAGTAACAGATTGGCTTTGTTCCAAACTGCCCCCTGAGGGTCTCCACTTTTCCCCTGCTATATGCTTATTGTGTTCTTTAATTGAGCAGAGGATTTTTTCACATCTTTAGCAGGGCAAAATGAGAGAGCAAAACAAGAATAAACAGCCCACATTTTCTTTCCGCCCTGCAAGTTATAACCAGGTATTAAAACAAATGTATCATATTCTCCCTAAACAAGTTTTCACTAGCTTAGTATTTAATATAAATGTACCTGCACACAATCCTTTGTGGTTAGTTTGTTCATATCACTGTCTCCATATGGAAATATTTGAGTTGTTTAGCTGATTTACAGTAGTGCTGAACTGTGTTACTGTCTCCACTGTGGGTGGGAAGATAATAGCCGAGGGGGTGAAACCTATGATTAGCAGAACAGTCATTCCTATCTAGCCTCTGGTTTATATAATTTCTCACAAGTTAAATTACAGTGACATCTAAGAATTGCTCATTTTGAATATAAGAGCAGTTGGATGGACATCAGAGCGCTCTATGATAGCTTGCAAAATAGCATTAAAACAAATTAAAGTTAAATATTTAGGTCTGTGGCTGAGAGCCTGAATGAGTGGGTCTTTTGTGGAAAAGTGGAGTTAAATCTGAGGATTCCTTTTGTATTTTGTCCCTAAAATCTTTCATATGAACTAGAAAGCTGGTTATATATGTGTTCAAGTTTGTCAGGCTGCAAATTCAATGTTGACAGATGCAACATTCCTCTCCTTCTTACATGCACTCTGCTTTTGTTAGTACACAACTCTCACTTCTATCTTTTTTTCTGTCTTTGTATATTTCACCATCTCAGTTTCTAACTCTTTACTTCCTTCCTGCTTCTTAGCAAATCTTAATTTCTCCTTCTTCTTATCTCTTACTAAATGCATAACACTTTCTCTCTTTATTTCATGCTTTCTTTCTTTGCAATAGGCATGCTCCCCTTACATCTTTCTGGGCATAGTACCACCCCACCCCACCCAAAAGCCAGATCTGTTCAAGCTAGATTTAAGTCTGCTTTATCCAGCTGAAGGTCTAGGGTTTGTGTAAATATAAATGGCCGTGAGAGCAACATGATAAAAGGACACACAGGCTATGTTCAGAGTGAGCATTGTGTTTCTTTTAAACAATGCAGGGGTCTGTGTTGGTGGGACGTGTTGCTTCAGGTACTGGTGGATTAAGAGGATCAAGTCCAATCCAGGAAGGCCCAATTCAGTAATAGTTTGACAAGTTTGAGGGCTTTTCTGATGCCAATTCAATAGATAATTAATAATAGTGCAACACCTGATTTTACAACTTTGTAAGTTATAATTTCAGCAGTTGTTTTTTAGCTTTTTTTTTGCAACAAATACTAGTCATTGTCCTACTGTATAATGTTTGCTTGAAAGCATTTGCTTGGCCAATGCAACATCTGATTGTATGACATTGTATTGCACCGTGGCAAATTTGAGCAACATTCTTTTGCTTGATGAATATCTTTTTTGCCAAATACCTGTCAGAAACTTGGCACAGATGCCTGCTGTGTCAACGCTTACAAATATTCCTTCAATAAAAATAAGACAAGCTTTAAAAAAAATATAGAAAAGTGCATTTTTACAGTTTGGCTAAATCATAATCAATAAAAACCAACAATTTAAATTCTGTTCTTGTGGAAGATCTTTACTGGTGGTTCAGGGTGTGTGCTTTTTAATACATTTTAAACACTAAAGAGTCCATCTTTTGTGGAATAGCTAAATATCCTGGACCTGTAAAAGTCCTAGTCCTCCCAACACCCCTGGCATGCTAGATGTCCATCTTTAACATGTAACCGGAGATGTTTTGCTTCTGTTTTTACCTGCCTGGTGACAACCTGGGTCAGTCGGGCTCTCTCTTTGGCAGCACCGGGGTCAAAGGTCAGGGGGGACAGATTGGAGAAGCATTGAGAGGCTTCTGCTTTCCCTTCAACCCGCTTGTGATCAATGCAGTTGGAAAAGTTTCTCAGCATAAAAGAGGCTTTAAGAGAAGTTAAGAATTCGTAGAACGATAAATAATAGTTTGTTGCCCGTATTAAGTCTCCATTGATAGCCAGAGTACCATACCAACTACTAAAAAGAACATATTCATGCAGCTGATTGGAATCAATTCAGGATATTAAGGCTTCAAATGTGTTCTCCATTATATCTAAAAAAAATGGGTCAGGACATCTGAGACTGAGGCAAACCACTGGTGACGGCTGCAACGCTTCAACATTCCCTTAATAGAAGAGCTTTCAGAGGGAATGTGTTGGTCCTGCCAATGAGTTTCATCGATTTAGTGTGTTACAGTAAAGAGGCATTTAGAGGATAATTGGAGCCCATAGGTATTTTTGTGACGTCAGTTTCTAAAGCTGCTGCATACTGTACAACCAACACACACTCACACACACACTGGTCAGCTCATGTCATGCTGATAGTGAGAATAGCGAGCAGCTGCAAATGGTCATGTGATCATATGGCATGCATGGTGTGTGTGGTGTGCAGACTGAGGGTGGTAAACACCCTCTTACCCCTCTCTGGTACCACCTCGCCTGCCTGACGCCTGTTTCTGTATTTGTGTCCTCGCTGTGTTGCTTCTTCTGTCCAACAACCCTTGAGCTTTTTGGATTCACACACAGATCACACCGGTGAGTCGAGAGTGGGCGTAAGACAGAGTGTTTTTGAAGACTGTAGCTATCACGTCTTAAGAACAGGTGTGTAAGAGAGAGTTTTTATTTGTTTTCAGGAACATTTGCCTTCTTCAGGTGTCGGGCTGCACACACAAGTGTAACCACTGCTCTGATGAGATACTGTGAGAGTATGTGAGAGTGTGTGTGGGCATGTGTGTGTACGTGTGGTAAATGCACAGGTGCACTGGTTGGGTGGTCTGACTCTGCACTGATGTGCAATCCTCCTACACACACGATCACACAAATACTGTGTAGTGAGAAGAGCGTGAATAAGTAAATGTTGACGACGTTAAATGTCATAATATTTGCATCATGCTGTCATGCATGATAACTTGAGAAGGCTATAGGTTAATGTTCCGATAAATGGCTGCAAATAATGAATATCATTATAATGGACTTATTGATTGATCTCTGTATTATCATTGATGTATTTAATTTGTATTAAGACTACGGCCACACTATTTCCCTTATTCATTGTGATGTCAACTTGCTCGATACAAGTGGCACAAAAGGCTGTGATATATCAGAGACTTCCATGATTTTTTATTTGTTAGTTGAAAATGATTGATACTTAATTGATTATTCCGCTAAACACATCAGGTATGAATTCCAAACTTAAAATAAAGAAGTCTTTCCGTGCTTTGTTGAAGCTCGGTATCCTGATCTAACTGGTGTTAAGAAGTGAGAAAGTGGGCGGCATGTTATGAAAGTACAGCGGAACATCTAGTGGCATGTTGACAGTTTTCAATGTGATGATTCTGTCAAGTGTGGCATATGACGGTAACCAGATGCAAATAGAAACATCTAATTCTGGTCACTGATATCTCAACATGTCTGCTGATAATGTGATAGCAAACACATTTGAACATAGCTAGCCTATTGGCGTTAAGTATAGCATTGTGTTGCAGGTTGTTGTGGCATTTTAACTTTCATCTCAAATATAGTCAAATACTCACTTACTGTATAAGCTATCTGTCTGTCTTGCTTGACACCCGCTGACAGCATGTGACTTCCTCTTGCCATGTGCTTGACTGATATTCAGGCTCGATATAGTTTACATAACTATATTTACTTTAGGTTGTCTTTGCATTCACACCTATCTGTTATAGCTGTATGCAGGAATTTAGCCTTAACATATGCAAGAGCATAATGATCCTGTTTGTATTCATTGTATCCATAAGGCTTGAGTTAGACTCTCTGTGGGACGATTATTTTGTAGTCTTTGTTGTTGACTTTGCTGCTGTGAGAGCTTGTTAAACAATGCCATGTCAGTTCCTTATAATTATCATATTTTCTTTTTGGGAGGGTTTTGTTGCCACCTGGCAGCGGTTCAGCATTTGCTGTCTTTTCTAATATTTTTCATCAAAACACTGAATAATTATTTCCAAATGCTCAAAACTTGTTTCCAGCTTCACAATAATATATTCTGGGCATATGTCAAGAAGATGAAGAACTTGGTTTGGATTGACTTTAATACATGTAATAACCTGAAATTATCCAAATTCCTGTGTTAAGGAGTAAATTGACAAGCGTGACTGTTTCATAAGTAGAGGGTGTACTTTGTGATCTGTTGCTATCATGCCCTGGTTTTAAGAAAATGATTAATATCCGTGATGGCTGATATCAGATACTACCAGTTAAAGTCTTTCATTCAGAAATGCATCAGTCATAAATACAAAAAATGATTAAATGTAACATAAATATGCACTATTAAAGGATGTTAGCTGTTTTTAGAGACGATCCCTTTTCACATCAGCTGTGACAACAAACAATAAATAACAAGAATGTATTCATAGAAAAATTGATGTTTATAGGTCTACAGAATGTATAGAGATGTGGGAGAGTGTGTACCCGACCGGTTGTGTTTTGTGTGTGTCCTTCGCTATCCACAAAGAACTTTTGACATTATTGTCTACAGACTGAAAAGACTTTTCAAATTGCTTTTCTCTTCTCTCTCTCTTCTCTTCTCCAGACCCTCCATTATTGAAGCTCCTCTGTCCTGTGTGACCCCCTGACACAGAAAGGTATGACCACACACACACACACACACACACACACACACACACACACACACACACACACACACACACACACACACACACACACACTCACACTCACACTCACACTCACACTCACACTCACACTCACACTCACTGAACATGTAAGCATTCAACTATGTTTTATAAACCCATCTTAAGCCAGAAGTGTTGTGTGACTGAAAGTGTGTCCTCTCTCTCTCTGTGGATTGTGTGTGCTGTTTGTTTCGGTAAAGCTCAGCAAATGTCAGCCATAATAAAACACCACGGTGCAACAGAGCAGTGTGCATTGCCACCCACACAAACACCGAAAAGCAGCACACATGCTCATACCTTTCTCCACTTCCGTTCACTTTGTTGTCTTCCTCTTATCTTCTGTACTTAACTTTGCAAAACAGAGACACGGCACAAAGTACTCTGTCAGACATCTGTTGCTAAAACTTGGGGTTTTCCATTAAGTGTATGGAGGCATTTCTATACACCGATAAGTGGTAACAAATCTAGATGTTCACTGCTTATGATTCACTAATACAGTTGTTTGATTTGTCCACAAAGCTCTTCATCAGGCAGCAACCTCATGGTCTGAAAATGTAAGCCTATGTGGAATTTCCACTGCTCTGTCCTGATGTGTAGAAGTCTTTGAGAAAATCTTCTTTACTTGATTTATTACCTCGAAATGAGTTTATGGTCTTAATTGCTAGGTCCAAGTCTTCTCCAATACAGCATGCTGTTTATTTTGTAAATTAGAGTTAAAAGGACAATAAAGCTGGGTGTGCTCTAGGGCGGGATTCCCTGTGATTGACGGGTCGTTACCAGGGCGATGTTTGAGCTCCCCTCTGTGTTATTGTCTTACAACTTTAACCCTCTCAGTGTGTTTTTAGTCAATGAAAGTTAGATGTTACATTTTGGTCGCAGAACATATTTATTTCACACTATCAATGTCATTATCAATTTGATATGTAATCCAAAGAAATGTCTCTTCTACCGTCCCAAATAATGCAATGACTTTATGTTTTAACAGCCTAAAAAATGTTCACAATTGTCATAACTAAAACATTGTATTTTCTGCCATGTGCGTCAAATAGTCCAGCCTGAAATATCTAACTGTAACTTGAATGGTTTCAGGATAATGATGTGTTTACCTCCAATAACATTAAGCTCGATTTGATTATTCTTATTATTTTGAGTTAACTTTGGTAAGGTTGCTACAGGCAACACCATTTATTTATGACACAGGGACCTGGGTAAAAGTCTGTTTGAGTTGGACATCACTTTTATCCAATATATGGATGTATTTTCTGCGACCAACCTTTTTTCCTTTGACCCAGTGATTGGGAAAACGGCAGCCAGGCAGTTCCTGGCCCTCTGATTCAGTTGGGGGTAATTGCGGGAAGGATAATTATATCTAAGATAGTTTGCAAGGTTAAAATAGGAGGCAAACCTCACCGACCAAATGTTCCCCCATGTCAACTTTACACCAACAGACAGACAGACATAGACAGACAGGGTGTAGTTATCACTGAGGCTGGAAATAACAATTACTCACCATGGGAGTCCAGGGTGGTAACTGGTGATCTACGGGGAGACTCTTTTTGTGGCTTTTGTAACATCCAAAGCTCTTCTATAAATCTATAATGAGTCTCTATAAAACTGTGGTATCAACACATTTTGTTGGACTCACATGCAACCACCTGTTCAGTTTCTTTAAAGGATCTAGTTCACCATTTAGGAAAACTCATTTGCTTGCTGTAATCTGACAGCGTGTTTCCCAAAAGGTCAAACTATTGCTTTAACACTTAATAATTGATCTGCCTTGTTCAAGGACTTCTCTGTAATTGAGGTCAGTGTTGGCAAGGGGGACAAATACTCAAGATTTAACACTCGGTTTTTAAGATCTGCAGGAGGGCAGGGTCACGGTTGGCAGGTCTTTTAATTCTCCTGCTATGAAGGAGTCAGCATGTCCCAGTTTGCACATTTATTTATCCTGAGGAATTTTGTTTTCCCCTAAGTTTCATTTCAAATGATGATGCCTATCTAAGACCCACTCTATTTCCTGTGCAGACCCAGAACTGCAATGCCAAACAAGCAAACTATCTGATTATTGTTCTGTAACATGAGTCAGTGAGTAAGATGTTTCATCAAATTAACTGGCAACTTTTTTAAGAAGAAACAAAGTTATTTAAAGGAATCGAGCCAAAAACACCAAGCAAATAATGGTAACAGCTTTCTAAAGGTTTGGATATGCTACTTTGCTTGTTTTTATGCAATCATCTACATATCTTTTGATTTGGACTGTTGGTTTTGGTTGAAAATAAAATATGAAAATTGATGACCTCAGGCGTCCCCAAACACGTGGGCAACAATAAAACCGGATCCCTCTCCTTTTATAGTTGTAAACTCAGAAAACACGTCCCAAATCAGAGCTGCACGTGTAAAATATATCTCTCTCCTAACTCAGCTCCTGATGTATCTGTATCCCAGTTTTTTAATCAAATATATGTCTGAGATATTTAGCAGTTTTGGTCTGGTAACATGAGATGTCCTCTAGGCTCTAACAAAGGTTGCAGAGTGTGTTTCTGGTGTCTCACTCAAGGGCATTTTGAAGGAGTGGCATGACTGTTGCTATAAGTTGATAATATTTTGATCATTATAGAGAAAGTTACACTTAACTGACTGGTAGTATCAGCAGCTTTTAGAGCGAACAGCTGTATACAGAGTGTGTGATTGTAAGAGAGAGAGTGTGTGTGTGTCTGAAAGAGCGGGTGTGTGAGAGAGAGTGACTGGAAAGGGGAATCTTGCCTTTGTCCTGGATGAAGCCATGAAGTCTCCTGGGAAGCCTTTCAAATCCCTCTGGAATGTGTGTGGTGTGTGTGTGGTGTGTGTGTGTGTGTGTGTGTGTGTGTGTGTGTGGTGTGTGTTGTGTGTGGTGTGGTGTGTGTGTGTGTGTAGTGTGGTGGTGTGTGTGTGTGTGTGTGTGTGGTGTGTGTGTGTGTGTGTGTGGGGTGTGTGCTGTGGTAGTGTGTGTGTGTGTGATGTCGGGTGTGTGTGCTGGCTAGTGTGGTAGTGTGTGTGTGTGTGTGGTGGTGTGTGTGTGTGTGTTGTGAATGAGTGTTGTGTGTGGTGTGTTGTGTGTCGTGTGTAGTGTGGTTGTGTTGGTGTTGGTGTGTGTGTGTGTGTGATTGGTGGGTGTGTGTGTGTGTGTGTGTGTGTGTGTGCTGTGTGTGTGTGTGTGTGTGTGTGTGTGCGTTGGGGGTTGGGCTTTGCCCACCCTTTCTCCACCGGCCTGGCCAATATTTTGTGGCGTGTCACTTCGGTGGTTTAGTGTAACTGTTACCATGGCGACTGATATCCTGCAGTGTTACCTGACAGCAGTGGTTTACAGCTAACTTTTTTTTCTTCCTTCATACTCCATTTTTTGTGTTAATTCCTCGCTTTCTTTTCTTTCTCCGATTTCTCTGTCGGAATTTTCCTCCTAGTTTGTCTTGTACTTGTGGTTTTTAAAGTAAGACATTTTATTAAAAAAACAATAAAAGGCATAGGCATTTTATTGTTTCTCTTTTTTATTCTTTAATTACTTAATTCCTTCTTTCCTTCTTACTTACTGTCTTTTTTCTTTTCTTTCTTTCTTTCTTTCTTCTGGTCTTTCTTTCTTTCTGTTACAGTCCGCCCTTCCTCTCTTTATCTCTGTGCCCTTGTTAAGTTGTGTAAATGCCAGCCTGCAGATCAGATTTCCTCAGCTGCTCTCATTAATGTGTTTATTTACCGAGCACTCAGCTCATCCTCTGGTGGCCCTGAATTTGACTCTGAGCTGCTGCCTGTAGTTAGTG